GTTGGGCAGCAGAAACATCAGGCAAAGTGGTGTTAGGCTTTGCATGTATTGGTTTTACGTATTTTGCTTTAATTACTCAAGGATTCAGGACATGAGTTTTTTTTATCTGGGTGTCTTATTTGTTTTTATTTTATCTACACACTTCTGTATATTTGTTTATGAATATAATCTAACCCACATCCATTTGTCTATATTGCATCCATTCATCCATTAGTGTATGTATATTTTATATTTGTAATATATTTAAATTTGATCATGAGAGAATAGGAGACTGTTAGAAGAATTACTTGTGCATCTTTATTTACTGATACTCAACCTCACTGGGTTATATATAGCTAAAGGGTTAATTTTCTGTTGTGACATATATTAGAGGAGAATTGAAAGAGTATTTCTTTTTTTCTATCATTTTTTTGGTAGGAAAAGAAATATAAAGTGATTATGCTATTTTGTTAAAATTTGAAAATTTGTTTTTACACTATCTACCATCTTTTTCAAAGATACCCATTCCATGTGATACTGGCCATACAGAATACAGTGCATTTGTAAATGATGACTTATGCAAGGCAAGGATTAGCCAATAAGTACTAACCAATCTGCAGATTTACATACATATCCAATATTGCCCAGACCTCTGCATTTAGTTCATCAAATAAACTTGCTCCATATATACTGGGAAAATAGAGCTTGTAGAACACCTTTGTGAATGGACAAAGTCTAGTATTGTCAGATAATTTATTGCCAAAGTGTAGGAGGGGATGATTTGTAGACCTTTGCCGGACTGCAGAGTGTGTTGTGTTGCTAAATGGTGTCCTTTTCAGGATAAATACAGAAAATGATGTTCAGATGAGTAACAGTGAATAAGATGAATTTCAGAGTGCTCTTAGCTTGATTTGTGTCAGTGTCACTATATGTTGAAATCCTTTTTAGTTAATGACAGAAGAAGCCTTGGAACAGAATTTTCCTTCTCTTCACCGACTTGCATTCCTGAATTTGAAAGTTGTGATCTCTGAAATGTCTTGTGTTTATTTGGTGTTTGATTAATTTAGTTATCAAGTATATCATGGGAAAATTTTTGGATTGGAGTGGGAGCTCTCGAATGGAACTGATATTAAATGGATTCACAGATACTTTTATCACAGACAAGTTTTTATTGTCATGGAATCAGGGCATATTGACTTTTGGTATTAGTGATTATCAAGTATCTTATCTAAAATAAATTGATTGAGAATGTATCTGTATCTTATTATCAGATATGTAAATAAAACAGTGAAGGAAAAGACAAGAAAACACACAAACATGCCGAAAGCCTTTTGCATATTCATTAGTTTTCTTTTTCTTTATTTCTTTTTTATGTTCAGTATAAACTCACCACATCAGATATGTTACACAGTTGTGTCTAGTCTGCTACACAGGCACACGCAAGTATGCACATACTACCCTGGTAATCACATTCATTTGTATGTTAAATAAATATGACTATGATTATATAAATATAACCTTGGCAGTCACTGTTTCCTCTAAAAGGGGATAGAATACCTATAGTCAGTAAGAGGGAAAAGACCTACTGCTTAGCCGTCTCTGACACCTGTTAACCCATTGAATATGGATGTGTCACTACCATCATGTGGCCCAAAATATGGGCATTAGTCTTACATGAGCAGACACTGTTAGATGTGTAGCTTGTAGGCTAGGCAAAAATGGACACCAGTGACAAAACTCCATACCTCCCATTTGCTGACACTTAGTGTTTTTCATCATAAATGTTTATTTATCTAAATCAAATTCCAGTGTCTATATCTGTCATTTGATTTACTTTATCCAGATGGTAATAGACTGTTTTCCTTGCACAGAGTCCATATCATCTATCTAGGTACAATAGTAATAACAATATGTAACATTTTGTTATTTGTGTCCTTTTTTTTGTATTGATGACAAGAATAGTAGGGTCCTGAGCATGGAAATAACCTCCTCATTGGAGCCAGCACACCTCCAGTCATGGCTTACGGACATTACATTCAACACTTGTTTATCAATGGAAATAATGCAAAAGCCCCATCCCAAACAGCAAATGTCTATTCACCCTTCTTGAGGTTTGTGCACTCGTGAGCCAAAACGCTAACAATGGCAAGTTCGTGTCACCGTGGCCCACAGCCAAATTTTCCCCTGGACATGATAGGCATGTCATCCAGATTATAGGAGTTATAACATTGGGCAAATTTTTGTGTACTTTGTATAATTTACAATATATTCTATACACATATCAATTATTTCCCAACACAGGAGCATATAATTTTCAATATGTACGTGTTTTTGTAAAGAACAGTTATGTCACACACAGACATTTCCCAGACGTATCTCTAATAGAATTAATGTTGCTATGTTCTGCTTAATCATTTAAGAAACTTTGAAGACTAGATTTTCATTGTTCATGAAAAAACAATCCAGATTTTCAGTAAACAGAGCTTAGGTTTGGCTCCCCTTATTTCTTATATAATGTGCCTAGGCCATCATAAAACTGCTTCACTTAGTAAAGCAGTAAATTTATTGTAAAAGAGTTTTAGCAATTTCAGACATATGAAAGTATGATTATGAAGTGTTCATTGATGAGAAAGAATACTAGAAGGTGATTTGGAGTATTTTAGAGTCTGACCTTTCAGAATGCACGTCTATAAAGCAGAAAATAGGCAATGTGAGCTTCCTCATATAGGGTGTACTGAGGATCAGAAAGAGGAATGTACAGTATGAAGCAGACCTTAGCATCTTTCCTCAGTATTTTTTCTTTTCTTTTCTTTACTGAGAAGCGTTGGGTAATTGATGTGTGTATTTAACATTTCCATAGAAGATAAACCATTTGTTTGTTCATTTTGATAATGAGGTTACATCACCATTTTAGTTATGTTTTTCTTATATCATCTATATATTTTTAATTTTGTTATTTGCTCGTTTATTTTTTTTATTTGATTTATATCTAAAGAATTATTATTGAGGAAATATATAATTGAGCTCAGGGCATTTCTATACCTTGTTCACTATTGTTTTACTAAATCCCCCTTAGAACATGAGCTTTCATTACCAGTTACGTACACTCCATAATTGCCATAGATACATACTTTTGAAAGGGATTTTGATGCCGCAACAAAGTCCGTCCAATATTTATCAATATTTTTGTGTGGTTGGAAGCAGTAGAGTAACCTGATTTGTTGTTGTTAGCAGTTGACCCAGTATGATAAGATGTTGATCCTTCCAGTGACCGTGAATAGTCTCAGAAAACAAAAACAATCATCTTTTGCAGAATTCCAGTGGATGATCAAGTTATATTTGAATTTTTTTTTTTTTTTCTAAGCTCTTCAGCCAATTTTTAAGTGTTATAAAACACTAAAAGCTCAATGTCATCCCGTTAAGAGAAATAGATATATATCTGTTATACAGTTATATATATTACTTGACTTTTATACATTCTGACAAGTTCTACTTTGACAGGTCCGTGATTTGATTAACAGTCAATTGCTAGCATGGTCTGGCAAGTCGATTAACCACTTGCCACCGAGGATGGCATGTGCGCACATGTCATGCCCACTGTGTGTTTAATTTAGTAATTGTTTTTACATATAGATGGCTCTACAAGTACTAAGTCACCAATGAGTCAATTACGAGAACTACTGGTCTCACCTGTTTACCCTTTTCCTTGATTTTGAATGATATTTTATAGTATCTAATACTGCTGTTCATATTGTCAATAACTATATAGTAATTATAATGTTTATAAAAATAATAATAGTATCAATATTGATAGCATTAGTAAAAAACGATTTTTCATGCTATTTCAAGGAAAGAGGTGGTCACAAGATCTACTATTTGACTTCTTTGTGGCTAAGCACTGGCAGAGCCATCTATGTGCCGAAGCATTTAACAAAATATAAAAGTGAACGAAACTTTTTCGCATCGGCATTGGGTTAACCTTTTGAATACAGTTGTATCACAGCAATCACATGGCTGAATTATGGGCATTAGGTGAAGTAAGTGGCTGCTCTCCTAGGTGTGCAGTTCATGGGTGTGGTGCATGTGAAAACATATGTGCGGTGACAAAATTCTATGCCTCCCCTTTAGAAATTTATTTTGTATAAACCTTTCTCATTTGCCATTTTACAATGTCCATATTTGTCTTTTGATTTGCTTTATCCAGATGATAATGGTCTGTTTTCCTTGCACAAACTCCACATCATATCGCTGTGCAATAAATAACTGAGTCGAAAAAAAGAAAAATTAACATTTTGTCATTTGTGTCATATATCTTCTTTTTTTGTAATCAATTTTCATTAATACAACCTCACAGCAGCCAACAATACAATGCTGAGCATAGAAACGGCATCCTCTCTGGAGCCTGCACTCTTCCAACCTTGGTTTACACACATTACGATCCACACTTATCGATGGGAATATTACAAAGGCCTTGTTCCAAAATCCATAATGAGTCTAATCACCCTCTAAGATATTTGTTCATTCATGGTGAGTCTTTTCCTTCACTCTGGCCTTCTCTCATGATGGCTATTTTGTGTCACCTTGCCCACGGCCATTTTTTTCCATGATAGTATGTTCATGTCACCCAGCCCTTAAACCTAATTTTTTTTGTGGTGTAATGGTTTGATAGTCTCTACTAGAGGTATGGAGGCCTGTGATGCTCAATGTTTGGGTGTGATACATAGCCCAGAGGCAGAAGCATGGATGTCAAGTGAATATTATCCTTAAGAGATGAAATTTACTTCTTATTGAATAATTACCCAAAATAGGAGTTTTGTTTTTTAATGTCATGGTTTACAGAATGGGATTAAAATATTTATGCAGAGTAGGAGTTCTTTTACTTAGTAATAGGGTTTTCAAACCTGTGTTAAACTGCTTTCTCAAAACATGATTTATGTTACAAAACATTATGATCTTCAATATGCTCATATCACTTCCACAATTAAACTTTTTACAAACCTTTACTTTTGTTCCGATTCCAGTTCCCATAATGGACGGGAGACTGCCAGGGCGCCCCAGCACAATCTCAGGACGCCAGAGAGACCGGCCCAGAATTGAACTGCCTTTGGTATTCGAACCCAGACAACAGCAGTCAGACCCCTCAGAATTAGATGCACATGTCAAAGAAATCACAAGAAAAAATGGGAATTTAATAATAGAAAGCAAGGTGGGTTATCTTCTCTTTCTTCCTTTTTCTTCCTTTTTTTATTTTTTTTTTTTTTTCTTGCTTCTTTCTTTTCTTCTACTTTCTCATACTTTCTCTTCCTTTCTTTCTTTCTTTCTTTCTTTTTCTTCATATTCTTTTCATTAATTTCCTTTCTCCTCATATTCCTCCTCCTCCTCCTCCTCCTCCTCCTTCTCCTCTCCTCCACCTCCTCTCCCTCCACCTCCTCTCCCTCCACCTCTTCTCCCTCCTCCTCTTCCTCCTCTTCGTCATCTTCCTCCTATCATTAGAAATAGGGAGTAAATGAGTGTACATGTTAGTGAAGTGTAATTGTAATTTCATCTTATAAATTCATGATTAACTGATTGTGAGATGTGTTTAAAGCATTTAATTAATTAACAAATGTAGCGCTATTACCTTTTTCAGAGCCTTTTGAATGTTTTTGGTTTTCTAATGATTTTTTTATTATTTTCATTTCAGAGTTATAATAGTACCATAGAAGATATGGAGTACATATCAGAATTAGGTAATGGCACATCAGGCAATGTTGTCAAAATGCTACACAAATCTTCAAAGAAAGTTATCGCCGTTAAGGTATGTTTGTCCAATTGTTTGATTGCTGTATTGCCTACAGGAAACGTTTTTGATTTATTGTTATATTTCATTTGTTTTTAAATAACTGTCAACTTACTAGTAATTTTTCTTTTCCTCTTTGTATATTTATTTGTGATTTTTTCATGATTGATTCTTGATTAATTAAATCTTTATTAACTATTAATTGAAGATTTTTTTTTTCTTTTTCTATTTATTTATTTATTTATTTATTTATTTATTTTTTATTTTTTATTTTTATTTTTTTTTTTTTTTTTTTTTTGATATTTGTGGTAGATCTAAATAACTGTTAGCTTAATCATAATATTTCTTTTCCTCTTTCTCTACTCCTTAGCAAATGCGACGGTCGGGTAACCTAGAAGAGACCAAGCGAGTCTTCTTTGACTTGGAGGTTGTATTAAAATCCCATGACTGCCCCTACATAGTACAGTGTCTAGGATGCTTTGTCACGGATTCAGACGTCTGGATCTGTATGGAGCTCATGGCCACCTGTCTGGACAAGCTCACCAAGCGTTACAAGCGGCCGATACCTGAGCCTATCCTCGGCAAAATTTCTGTTGCTGTGAGTACCTTGAGGGTCAAGTCCTCGGTGTTGTTTATTCACTCTTGTCAGTTAGCCAGCTTGTTTAAAGATTATGAAAGGCCTGACTCAGGAGTATTCATGCATATGGAGATTTACATACATATGAATGAATGCATATTCATTAGTATGCTTATGCATTTCTATTAGAAGAGTAAATAGGTAATTGCATATCCATCAGATTGATAGGTAGATATGCGCATATTTCTTTGTATAAACATGCCTTATTTATAAAAATTTATTTGGTCGGGCTTCTTCCAATTTTGATAAATCAGCCAAATATAGTTATTTTTGTTATTGTTTTTTTTTAGCTTATTAATCTACATTGTCTTTTTACCTCCAGACCCTAAAGGCTCTCCACTACCTTAAGGAATCCCACGGTGTCATCCATCGTGACGTCAAGCCTTCAAACATCCTTCTAGATGAACGTGGTAACATTAAACTTTGTGACTTCGGGATCTCAGGGAGACTAGTCGATTCTAAGGCTAAGACTCGTAGTGCTGGTTGCGCAGCATACATGGCGGTGAGTAGTTTGTTCAGGGTTGTGTATGAGAATAATGTGATAAATACATTTTTATGATTTTGCCTCAATTTTGAGTAGGGTACTGGTTTTGTAATTTGAAATCTTAATGTGTTCATGCCATGATAACTTCCAAGTATCACACCCAATTGAGCCTGTTCTAAGTTGTGCTCTTTCTTTTATTTAATAACTTAACTTTTGTTTAGGCTCTTTTAGTAGTTCCTTATAGTTAGCATATACGTCTTACCCAAGAATTTTGGTTTGATGATATCATTCTTCTCTTGCAGCCAGAACGGATAGACCCGCCAGACCCTGCAAGGCCGGATTATGATATTCGTGCTGATGTTTGGAGTTTGGGCATCACTCTAGTAGAGCTTGCTACAGGGCAGTTTCCATATAAAGATTGTCGCAATGACTTTGAGGTTTGTGTCTTCATTTTTGGTTGTTGGTTCTCGTTCTTTTCCCTTCTTTTTCTCTCTTCTCTTTCTTTGTCACTTTTTTCTTTCAGTTTCTCTTTTCACTCCCACTTTCTTCCTTGTCGCTTTTCTCTTTTTTTATATATCTTATGACTTTCTTTTAGTTCACTTTTGCTGTTCTTTCATATTATCTATTCTCTTTTACTGTCTCACTTCTGTCACTTTCTCTCTTTTCTTTCACTTGCTTTCATTTATTTCATCTTCTCTTTTCTTTTTCGTTTTCTCGCCTCCTTTCTCCCTTTCCCTCCTTCCAACTCGACATTCTTTCTTTCTTTCTTTCTTTTTTCTATTGCTTTTGTTAGATTTATATGAATAAGACTGTGATATTATACAGGTCATGGCTTTTGTGATTGTAATTTTGTAATCCTGTACCCTGCAGGTGCTGACCAAGGTTCTACAAGACGATCCACCATCTCTTCCCAAAGATGGAAACTTTAGTCCTGAATTCTGTGAATTTGTTAAAGATTGGTGAGTTCAGATCTCATTATTTTTGTCTTGTATTTAGTTAATGGGTTTTTAGACTTTTTTTTTCATCATAGAGCAGGTCCTCCCAGTTGACTCATTATTTTGTTTTGTTTTTTTAGTTACTGGGTTTGTTTGTTAGTTGTTGATATGGTGTAGGTTTATGGAAAAATACTTGTTATGCAGTCACTATGCTTCCTTAGTTTGCACTAGACTAGAGACACCCCCCCCCCCCCCAGCTGACTTTGTGTGAACATTAATTTATTTAGTAGGGTCAGAATCTGGGTGGGAAGACATTGGCTTCCATACAGAATCATTCCTTAGCTTAGTCAGCTTCGTGTACATGTTCCTCTACTTACAGATAGGTAAGGGACTGACTTTGACTTTTCTGTTTCTCTTGTGATGGTAAGAGTTTGTTAAAACATAGTCATAAGCAAGATGTTTAGGGCTTTGTTCTTCATTAGGGAACGATTCTTAGTTCACAAATATGATATGATGAATACAATTATTATACCTCTCGGTGGATGCTTTAGATGGCTTTAGATGCATGTCATTAAAAGTTCTGTATAGGATTTGATGATAATGTTTTTGTTTTCCTTTATGGATTTCATGTGGTTGGTTTAATTTGATTGCGATGCAGAAATATTTTTTATATAGTTTTCATCAGCGATGTAATCAGAATTAATTATCAACATATCTGGAAGTGTGTAAGTTGTACACTCAATTCATTCCTTTTTATTCCATTTCTTACAGCCTTATTAAGGAATATCGCCAACGCCCAAAGTACAAGAAACTACTTGACTATCCATTTATCAAGAAATATGAAAGTATGAAAGTGGATGTCTCAGCTTGGTTTAAAGGTCTGTTATGAAAGGGAAAGTATGCTGTTGTAGTAATAGTAATGGTAGTAATTCCAACCTAGATTTATTAATGTGTTTACTATTTCTTTATATAATTGCAGTCAAATAAATCAAGCTAGTTTTAGGTTGTGAGGTTGTGATATTGAATTATAAGCTTGAAGTAAATGATTACTTTAATTTTCTATTTCCCTCCTTTTTCTCTTTTTTCTAATCATAATATATCAAATGGAAATTACTATCTCTTCCACATTGCAGAAGTGTGCCGCCAGACAGAAGACAAGGTTCGGAGCTCCCCTCAGAGAGTAAGTATATTTTCCTCTCCTTTACTCCCCCGAGCCTCGCGCTCCAGCAGTCGACCCCCAAGTGCCCCCAGTAGTAGTGGGGGCGGGGGTGGGGGTGGAGGGGGTGGTGGGGGAACTGACTCCGCACCCCCACCACACCACCTGTTGCGCCCAGAAGACGGAGTCGCACTCCTGAAGCGCACAGCCACGACCGCGTTAACCATATCCCTCTGCAACCTCAGTTACAACAATTGCAACATGATCAGCAACAACAACAGCTACAGCATCAACAACAGCAACAGGAACAACATCAAAAGCATGAGCAGCCTCCTGTGCAGCAGCTCCACTCGCCCCAAAAACAGCAGTCACCAAAGCAGAAGCAGCCCTCACCACACAAACACCACCGGGAACAGAATGGTGACAGCATCAATAGCCCCAGGAGAAGTGGTGGCAGTAACAGCAGCAGCAGCAGCAACAGCAGCAGTAGAAGCAGCAGCAGCAGCAATGGCAGCAGCAGTAGCAACTGCAGTAGCATCAGCAGCAGCAGCAATGGTGGCAACGGTGTGGTTAGTCGGTCACCGCTTCCAGCCTCTCCCAATCTGACCCGCGCCGTATCTGCTTCGCCATCTCGTTCTGGGCCCCCCCTGTCACCTGCCCCCTCTAGGGCATACTCAGCCTCCCCCCTCCAGAGATCTGTTCCCCCTTCTGCTGTCCCCCCACACTCGTACCCAGGAGTGAATCACATGGGTCCTTTTTCCCATCCTGCATCATCAGCTCATCATCATCATCATCAGTATGCTGTCCCATTGCCCACACAAACATTTTCTCCATTAAATTATTCCCCAAAGCCTTACTCACAGGCTTATAGCCAGTATTCAAATCCATACACCCAAGTGTTACCTCCTCGTTCAAGTCATAGTAGTTTTTATAATAACGTGTCCAGTAGTGGTCGGGACATCCACAGTAGTAGTAGCAGTAGTGATCATTCATCAAGCTCAGGAAGCAGCAGTACAACTACCACGTCTGGTGGCGTGATGGGAACGAGCGGGTCTGTGCGGGAGATGGCCAGCAGCTGGCCCACACCCAGTCACATGCCCAATCTTAGTACAGGCCAACGGGAGGCCTGGGGAGGCACTGGCAGTAGTCAAGGGGTGCCTGCCACCACCACCTCGGTCACTCACACTCCCCCCATGCACAGGAAAACTCCTGAGCCAGTAAGGTAGGTCTCTCTTTTTTTTCTTCCTCTTTCTTTGGCTGAACCCTGATGCTATGGAATCTCATATACAAAGACTATCTGATAAAGATTAACTACTGAGATTTGAAATCTACTGCCAAATTGAATTCAGTCTCATGCTTGGCTCCTGTCATCTACTAGCAACAATGTAAACTGCTATCTAGAGTATGATGATATGATTATGGGTGCATGCATTCATTAACAAAGTTATTAAAATGGATTGTAATGATAATGACCTGTAAAGATGAATTAATACCAGTAATTACACACACAACCAGATAACCAGGGAAAGAACCTTAAAAGTTGCCAACAGTGGCCGTGTATACGAGATGCATAACAGCCATGGCTTCTGTATTGGTTTTAGTAAAGAGGAAGAATGAATCTGATGGCCTGATCCTCCTCCAAGTAGGGGCAGAAGTCTATGGGTTCTTTATTCTTACTAACTCAATTTTTTGTGCTTGGGAAAAAAAAAACTTGTGGCATCATTGGGAGAGCTCATTGTGGTCTTCCAAGGTCTTTTGAGTGGAATTCTTCTGGCCTTAATTAACAGCTCCTCAATAATGATTATTAACCATTTACAAAAAGAAGTTTGTTCAAGGCTTGTTTTTGATGTGAGTTTTGCTTCCCTTCTTCTAATTGTCTATGTTCTTGGTCTTTCCTCTCCTCCTCTGCCTTTTCTCTTTTCTTGTTCAGTGACTTTTGCTCTAGAAATTTCTGTCTTTGCCATCCTCCTCCCCAGCTATACTGCTTTTACTTTCCCCTTCCCCTAGCCATTCCTTTCCTTTACCACATCCCCCTTTTTCCCCCCTCCCTCTTTTCTCTTTCCTCCTTTCATCCTTCTCTCTTCTCCCTTTTCTCTTTCCCCCTTTCATCCTTCCCTCTTCTCCCTTTTCTCTTTTCCCCTTCCCCCTTTCCCAACCCTCTTCCCTTTGCCCCCTTACCCCCCTTTTCCTTTTACCCTTCTCTCTTTCCCATTCCCTCTCCCCTCCATCCCTTTCTCTTTCTCTCATCCCTCCTACTTTTCCTATTACTCCTCTCTCTATCTGTATCTACTTGTTTTCACTCTTCCTTACTCTATCTCCCTCTCTTGCTTTCTCACATGTTATATTTGTTTTTGGTAAAATTGAAAACCAACCTTTACTCTAATTCTCAGTAACGAAGAGCCTTGAACAGCTTCTCATTGCCTTGCATATTAAGATGTATTTTGCACCCTGTTGAGAAATTTATCAGTATTTCTTTGTTATTCTTAGAAAGTAATTTCTTTTTGATGGGGGGTAGGGGGGCATCCCTGAAAAGAAACGCCCCTCAGGGATGCCTCGTGGGGTAACGGAGGTACCCATTTACGACCAGAATTACCTGGGTGTGTGCAGTGCTTGAAATCCTCCAGCCAGCCAGCCAGTTACTCACTCACTCACTCTTGTTATCTTAGCTGTGTGAGGCAAGGGGGCAGGGGTGCTGTGAGGTACTTGACTAACTATCCCTCCTTATCTTTTTTTCTCTGAGGCTGTGATCCAGAGGCACTGCCACTTCATCTTTTCACATTGTGTTGGGAAGGTACATCCAAAAATGTTTTTTCAATGGTTTTAGAATATTTTATTGAGGATGAAGAACTAGATGTTTAAACAATCAAGAAGGAATTTCTTGAACAGAGATATTAGATTATGACTCAGACAACACAAAGTGCATAAATATGTATATACACTCTTTTTTTCCTCTTTTTCTTCTCCCAGACTGAAGCTAATTCTTGAAGTGGCAGTGCTTTCTGAAAGTGTGTTAAGAACCAAGGTTTACTAACATTGTAGGGCATAGCACTGAATATTTGAGAATGAGGTGGTGCATGAGAAGTGGGGAACTTTTGAGTAGATAATTCTCTCTCCATTATTATATATTTATACATATATGCCCAGATTCTTCCCTCCCCCTCCCCATCCCCCCCTCCTGCTTTCAATATTAAAAATGCAGGAACATCTTAATAATTTTGGATGAGTTTTTGTTTTTTATTGTTTTTTTTTTTTTTTTTTTTTGCTCCCATCAAACAATCAGATGTTTTTCTAATGGAGGGGGTTGATTCATACTAGTAATTTCTGGAATGTTATCTTTCACATCCCTCCCCTTTTCCCCTGTAAATAATATTTTTTCCCTTTCTTTTTTATAAGCACTTGCCTAATCAGCTGTGTGGCTACATACTTTCATGCAAGAAGAATCCTTTCAGTAACAAACAATTGTCCGTAACATAAAGTGAATGAATAAATAAGTAGATTTTAAAAATGAGGAACAAGGACCTTCAATGTAACCCTCAATATACCAGAGACCTAAGGGGAAATAACTCTATATCAGGTCGTAGGGTGCGGTACCAGCCTTACCTTATACTGGGGTTTTGTCCTCTCTGTTTCCTTAGATTTGTTTTCATTCATTTTTTTAGGTTTATTGTTATTCTGAAATATGCCAGGAAGTTCTTTTTCTTTTGTTCTCTTTTTCTTCTAATTTATTATTTAGTTGCATCATTGCATGAGATTGGAAGTGATTGCATGAATTTTACATTTTTAACACGAGTGTCTAGTTGTTAATTTCCTTTTCTTTTCTTAAAATCTCTTTCATTACTGTTATCCCTAGCGTGATTGGGTGAGTGTTAGAACCTTGTGTTAATGAATATGTTCTCATAAACTAACAGTATTTATAATGCATCATACTAATGATATACTTTAAGAGACAAAGTATATCCATTCTGCATCATACTAATATTTCACCATTACAACTAAAGTATTTACCTTTGATTGTATTAAGTTTTGAATTCATTATTACAGTTTAGTTAAGTAATATTTCAGGTGACAATAATTGATTCATAAAAAATAAAAAAAAATTATTCTTATTTTCTATAATTTATATATTATTAGTCTGTTACTCTTACATATTTTGATATTATTGTTATCGTTATTATTGTTATTTATTATTTATGGTTATTATTATTAAGGATGTTATTATTGTTTTTTTTTTTTTTTTTTTTTTTTTTTCCACTTTCCTTCTTAATTTTCTTTTAAAGATTCAACTACTTTAAGATTATTGTCACCTTTTAATGTATTTTCTTTTATTTTCTGATTATGTTTTAGTAATGGAATGTCATAGTTACCTAGAAAATACGTGAATAAAAAAGTTAGAGAAAATCTATATGTGTTGTAAACAAACTTTTGTTAAAAATTGATGTAGCAAAAGCCAAAGACAAGGTTCTAACTAAGCACATGGTATCGCGCTGTAGTGTTTTAATCTCTTGCTCTCGGTGCTTTCTGGGGCCAGTGAGCAGTTGCTGATGCTTGCACAGATGGTTAAATCACTGTTTTATTTTTATTTATTTTTTATTTTTTTTATGTTTTTATTTTGATTTGATGATCTAAATGATCTCTGTTCTGCCTGTTCTGATTCTTTTTCTATTTTCTTTTTCTTTTTTTTTCTTTTTTTCTTTTTTGGTGAGAGGAACAATGTCTTTATGCTGTCTTTTTTTATTTTACAAATGTTTTGGGGTGGATGTGTATTCTGTCCACAAGATGTTCAGATCCAAACCCTTGTAAGATAGGAAAAGCATATTGTATTGCCCTCATGTTGATGTGTATTTAGTCTCTTCTGTAAAGATGTGTATTGGAAGAAGGGAATGAAAAAAGTTTCCAATTTCGGAGTTGAACTTTCCTGTGATATTTTGAGAGTATGTTTGGCATTTCATCTCAAGAGTGGACTTTGAAACTTTTTTCATTCTCACAGTATGTATTATTATGTGATTGGTATATAAATGATATGAAGTTAATGCTGTAGCTGTGTAAAATGGGAGATTTGAAAGTCAATAACATTTTGATGCCTGTTGATAACGCAGTTTTTATTATTTACAAATTTGCTTGCTCACAACGTGATTTCTTTATTTTTATTTTTGTGTACGGTTAATAAGCTCTTGTTATAAGCATTGCATTGGTATATTCAAATAGAAAATAATTAACAAAAAATAAATACACCATATTCAAAGATAAGGAAGCAATACAGATGATTTCAGATTGTTTATCACTTTCAGGCTCTCATTTGATTTGCTGTGTCACCATGTATCACTTTCTTTCTTTTTTCTCTACTTTCTCTCTTTCTTTTTTTTCACTTTTACTTTTATTTGGTAACAGCTTACTTAGAATGCTGTGAATTTTTGCAAGGTTGTTGTTTTTAGTGGAATTTCAAAAGCTTTTTGGGCTAGTCTGCTAGCTTCACCCTATCACTGCTTTCACAATATGTATGTATAAGACCTCTTTTTACAAAGCCACCTTTCGGTACTTGCCTTCAGTGCCACCCCATGCTCTCTCTTTAAGGTTAAATACAAAAGAATAAAGACATGATAATGGGAAGGTAAAGGAAAAAGAACAATACTTGCTATACTGT